AGAAACGTCGATAGAGCTCAAATTAAGACTCAAAAAATATCGTACGAATAGTACTGAATTATTATTCATAGAATTATTAAATTTTAAGATTTACAAACCAATAAAATGCTTTATAGTAAACCTAACTATTTTGTAGAATTTCCTAAAAGCAATATTATATTTTTATTAAAGTAAGTCATTTAAGTTATGGGCATTAAACTAATATTTTTCTAATATATTTTACGATATTTTGGCAATACTTAAGATGTTTATGTTTATTCCAAAACCGAAATTAATCTCTGGTTATTAATTTACCTAATATTGACGATTATACGATAATTAAATTTTTTTTATTATTTATTTTAAATTTTAAGAAAACAGTCAAAATTATATATAGACTAGTATAGTGAGCATTTAACTATGTAAAATTCTCTGCTAAACTAAGTAAGGTATTGAAATTCTTTGCAAAATTAAGTTCTAAATCTGCAAATGCCCAATCGTAAAAAACGCTCATCATTAACACAAATTTATAATGAATTAATTATGAATTAAAAGAAATACTAAACTACAGAACAAAGGGCAGATTTTAATTGAGAAAATATATAGAAAAATATTAGAAATAAAAATATTCCAACAGATTGGCAAAGTTGAAAAATTGACAATTTATATTACAGACAATTATAAAATTGTTAATAAAAGCGCATACAACAGAAATAAACTATACAAAATTTAAATTTTCGCATCAATAATCCAATATATCACGTAAAAAAGGACAAAATTTTACATGACACACCTAATGTTCTTAAGATTATAAATTTAATTACAACAAATTCTAAATTATTTTTAAAGTGCTCAATAACCATTAATAAAAATGTGAATTATATAAAATTCAGGAGAGATCAAATAATGTTTTTTATTATTATCAACAAAATAGGAGAAAAACACGTGTTCATTTTGTATTAGATTAGAATCCATTTTATATTAAATGAGAATTTTTTATCAAATAGTTTGTAAATTTCCTAAAAAGCAATACCATATTTTTGTAAACGTAAACAAAGAAAATGATAATGAATTTCCTTCATTCCAAAGATTTCGTTTAAGTTCTAAGATATTGTCCGTTTTCCAAATTCTTTCCATAGTGATCGAAATTCAAGAGACAGCAACTTGTTGACATTTTTCTTTTGAGTGAGTCAGGCTAAAACCCTTCCTTAATAAAACAAACGTTTCCCATTGTTTAAGATAATCTCTGCGAATGTGAACCCACCGCATATTCTAAAAGGTTTTTCTAAGACAAAAGCATGTCGCTTCATCCAAATTTCATGCCACTCACGAAATATTGAAATATTCATAAGATAAACCGGCGAAGATGTAGTGGATAATAAAAAGCCCTTCTGGGTTCGGATGAGCCTTATATTTTTTGTATACCTTGAACCCACTTGTCAAATTTGAATGGTTTTGTTCAACAATTGGGGTAAAATATCAAATGGACCATGACGATGGGAGAAAGAATTTTAATTTTATTATTAATTATAAAAATATTTTGATATTGAAAGAATTTTGTAATACTAATAGTCAAATGATATTTCGTGAAGTACTATACAAACAATTTGTGATGTAATAATTGAGTATGCAGCAAAACGATGTGAATTTTTTTTCGTTATTGGCTAAGCAAGTACAAATAATACCAGGATTTTTTTTATTATTTTAGATTATTTCATTTAGAAGTATATGTGAGTTGGTTGAATTTAATATACTCTAGTGTTAACAAGATGAAAAACTAGTCAAATTTTCATGAAGGCAGGTCTAGCGGTTTTGGAGATCTAGTAAAAAAAGTAAAAAAAAATGCCATCTGGCGTTCAAATATGATCATTAAATATATGCACATCCAATTATCAGATACTTTATAGAGATTTTAACAATAAGTATAAATTTTGTTTACATTCCTATGGGTTCCGTACCAATGCTGATCCGTAAGACGGCGGCGCGGCGCTTACGCGCTTCGATATTTCGTTTCTATGCAGTTAAAGCAGTACGATCGCTTTGAAAAAAAGTTCAGAATTTTCAAAATATGTCAAAATACACTTTTCTTTTTTTTAAAAAAAGTCTTTTTTTTTTTAAGTAAATTTTTGTCAAAAATTTATAGTTTCTCAAAAATCTAATTTTTCAGGGTAAATTTTTTTCAAAAATGTTAATCTTTTAAAAAAAATTTTTGGTACGGGAAGTTCCAGCAATTTGCCTTAAGGCACAATGCCATGCGTCCCACTAGTTTTTAAGTAATTTATAAATATATAAAGTTGCTGTAGGGCCTTCTCATGTTAGAATCTATTGGAAATTATTGTTAAATTATTATTATATTTTATTGAGCTTTGTACAAATTTTTGTTCACATGATCGTCATTTTCGACCAATATTTCAACTATTACTTATTTGATTATTGAATAAAAAAGGATACATAATCGGTCTATTTAATTCTAGAGAAATTGCTCGGAAAATTGAAAGATATGGATCTTTTGTCATGTTCGAAATGAGTGAAAAAGGATGGAAATATATCCAAACTTTTTGACAAGAAAGATTTTTTTTTGCTTAGATTTGTTGTCGATCAAAACAATATAATTTAAGAAAGATTGAAGTGAAAAATGTTAATGTGTTTTGACGCGAGTGGAAAAGCATGGACACATATCTATGACTTTTTGGATGTTTTTAACCTCACAAAAGTAAGCCACAAAAAGTTTTTAAACAGTTTCATAGAACGACATTTATATATTTAAAATCGGTTCAGCAGGTCTTGGGAAAACGTCGATGAAAGTTTCTAATTTTGGCTCATATATATACACATAAAATACACTTATCATTTTTGCTTTAAAATTATTTAGAATGGCTCAAAATGTCAAGAAAACAAAACATTAACGAATAGATTTTTCTGGCAGAAACATAAATTTATACTTCGGGAAGTAAAAATTATAAAAAAATGTAAGCTACACTTGAAAAGGTAATTTTATCAGAAGATTTTTAATTTAAGCTTAATTATTTGTAGATACAATTTAAAGCTCATTTGGAAATAATAATAAAAATATTAAAAAAAGACTTCGATCTTTACATGTTGAATATGTGTAGCGCCTTATACGCGGTCTCAAATAGGATGAATTTTGAGAGATATTACAGTACGTTTGATCATTATAACATATTTTGATCTCATTCAATTATTGTGGAGTTAAATAAGAAACTTTCCAAAGAACTGAAACAACAATATTCAAACCAATTTACCACTTTTCGCCTTTGAAAACGCCCGCATCCGACCCATTGTTAGACCTACTCGTCACTTTGCGCGAACTTGCTTACAGATGCTCATTGTGAATATCATATATACAAATTACGTGACTTCAGAGTAAAGTCATATTATTATTATGTTATAGTCAGAGGCGTTTATTCCCTAGACTCGTTTATAATTTAATGGAAGATGGCACGGGCGCGGAATAATTTTGTTTATAAAGCGGACATATAAAAGTTAATACGCGCTAGAGATTTCAGTAATCGACCTCAGCATCACGTGATGGTCTCACCCCGAGGGCTTTGGACCAAATTTAGGAAAATATATGTTGAAATTCACTGTCAATTAAATAAAATTTTATGAAAAAATCGTAGCTAATGAGTACATCTTAGATACTCAATAGGTTCGGCCCACATTCATGCCGAGGGATTGGAACTAAATTTGGAAAAGTAGTTGAAGTTATTAGTTGTTGATTAAATAAAATTGTATGAAACAATTGTTGCTAATAATTAATTTTTATGATAGATACTCATTAAACTCGGACCACATTCAAGTATTTTTTTTTACTTTTCAGATATTTATTGAATTTAATTGAATCGTTTGAAAGTTTGTTACAAAAAACATACTTTCAGAATTCATAAAATTTGGATCAAATTTAAGAAAATTAATGAAAAAATCGTTTCTAATAATTAATTCGGATTCAATACAAATTAATCGATGATAATTACTTCTTATTGTTATTTATTCATATATTCATTGATCTCTCTCTCTCTCTTGACCAAATTGATCAAAAATCTATTTCTAATTATTACTTCGTAGATATTCATTAAGTTTGAACCAAATTCAGGAAATTTTTTGAGAAAAAAATGTTGCTATTAATTACTTCTTGGATATTATTTCATTTTATGAAAATGATGATAAACTTGATTCATAATGTCTAATGCATCGATTAGTAGAAGCTAATATGCAAAGTCAAAATGTTTTTACTTTTTTTTTAAATTTACTTCATCCATAATTATAGGGTGGTATTATATGACTATATTCATCAAAAGTTTGAAACCATAAATCCAAAATAGAGAAAATATTTTTTTGGTAGAAAATATTAAAATAAATTATAAGAAATTTTTTGGATGAATATATCTCAGAAATTTGAAAAAATGTTACTGTAAGTTAAACTACAAAATTTATAAATAATATATTATTTATAAATTATGTAATTTAACTACACAGCAAAGTTATATATTATAAATAATATATTATTTATAAATTTTGTAATTTAACTTACAGTAAAGTTTATTCAAAATTCCGAAATATATATCAATTCAAAAAAAATGCTTAAAATTTATTTTAATTTTTCTCCCAAAAATTTATTTAATCTATTTTGGATTAAATTAAATTAAATTTTTGGAGACAGTTGAACATATAAAATCATAGGATTAACTGATTAACTGAATCCTATGATTATAAATATATAATAAAATTTTTTTAAGAGAGAAGAAATATCTACCACATTAAAACTAAGCTAAAGCTAAATTTTTAATTTTTAGCCAATTTTGTAGAATGTGCTATGTATATATCATAATAGTAGAGATAATATGTAGTATAGTAGGTATATAATATAATATTAGATACCAGCAGGTATAATATGTAGTACCTACATATTATAAATGTAAGCTTAAAATACAATTATAGTTAAAATATATAATCCACTATATAATTATACAATTCTATATATAAAAATAAATTGTACATACCTTCTCTTTACTTCCTTTTTTCTGTGCACACAGGAAAAAATAAAAACATATTATTATTTGAATAAAATAATTTCACACATTAATAACAACACATTTGATAGAAATTGGTACAAAATATATATAGGTAAGGGTGAATGTATCTAGTAATACTCGATTTATAAAAATCAAGTATTTTTGGGTTATATTATTTAACTAAATAACAGAGGCAGATAGGTGTTAACGGATTTTGATACATAGATATACGCAGAAATATCTTACATTAAGTGTGGTTTCAGGGCAAGAATAAGGTAATATTATGTAACAAAATAACAAGGGTTGGTAGGTGATATCAAATTTTGATACATAGACATACCCAAAAATGTCTTACACTAAGGGTGGTTTCAGGGCAAGAGTTAGGCTCTATATATAAGTGGTTTATTGGGAACAACGCTAATTCTACATGCAATCCACTAAAACTTAGTAGTAAACGTGGGTAAACTCCCATGATACCTATATATGAGAACTGGAATTAAAACATTTCACTAAAAATCCATATTTATGTGTTGTTTAATTGGATACTTGATTAAACCAAAACATTCATTATCGTTGCTAAGAAAATATGAATAAATATGATAAATTGATTGTGTTTGTCAATATCGATGTACAAGATACCCAATCACTCGAATCAGATCAATTGTAAATTGTATTATTAAAAAAATCAATTTTTTTCTAATTGCTTTCTTAAACCAACACATCCAATATCAATGCCTATAAAATTAATTATACTTCCTCTGGTCATCTATAAAATTATAGTCTAAGTCAACACTATACTTAATGTGCAAGAAACCCAGTCACTCGAATTGGGTTAGTCTGATGCAAAATGTAAATGTTATAGTGACCAAGGAATCTAAATAACGATATTCGGCACAACTGGGTTAATTCGGTGGTCATGAGTTAAATGCATTCAGCGCCATGCGCCGAGGCTGTTCCGAATGCAGTTTATTGTTTACTGTACAATTATACATATTTCCATAATGGCGAGATTTAGCCAAACTCAAACTACATATCATTATTATTTGACCCGTAGCAAAACAGTTAAGACAATCCTTTGATAAATCAGGATGAGTATAATAATATTTGAACACTGCGCAAACTAGAGGCTACTAACTAGCCCAGCAGGATTAAATATTTCAGGATTAAATTAATCACAAATGCATGATATAAAAATATAAATAAAGTAGAAAAGTATGATGTAAAATTTGAGTAACAGACATGGCCAAAATATATATTTTTTTAAATCTTGGAACAGCAATTAGAACTTAATAGTCTTATATGCCGTTGTGTTGATTTGTCCTAATACTAGTCTGATGGCAACCCAGTCCACACATTTCTGTATGATATATTAAAATTACAATTTTTGTAATAGGGCAAATATTTTTATTGAAAACAGGTTTGCTCGAACCCGGAACACCATTCAAGTCCAGTCGTTCTACCCTATGGTGAAAATACTCTTATATCACAATTTTGAAGTAAAACCTCTTTAGATGCCACATGGGTGTAAATCCGTACAAATGCAACGGAAATTGTTACGCCAAGCTGAAGTGAGAGTCATTCGCTCTCGTTGATATGATTTCTATACGGGTCGACTCTGATTGGTCGTATTTGAGCGAAGCTTCTTTGTATGCGTGACCTTATAGGTGCGTACGTCACCAAAAGCGTGCTTCATACGTGCACACGTCACCGAAAGCGTGAAGCATATTGTTCAAATATCCAGTGTTATGTCAAAACTTTTTAAGGTTAAATAGATATAAATTGTGAGTTAATAAAAATGTCAGGATCGGAAGAATATCTTATCCCGTCCCCCATAAATAATTGTAGTGCAAATAATCGCAAATGATGAAACAAATGAAAAATATAATATATTTGCTAGATCTATTAATGTCAGCGAAGAAATTATGTAACGAAAAGATGCTAATTTCAATGCCCAATTTCAGTGTCAGAAATTTCAATTTGATTTTGACAATTGCAAAATCTGTTCAATCAATTTTTATTAATTTTTTCATATTTCTATAGTTAACTCAAGTAAATGTATTTTTCCCAGTCAAAACTTGTCTTATCATGGTTGGAGGAATTACGTTAGTAATATTTTATTTATATAGTAAACACACACACACACACACACACATACACACACACACACACACACACACACACATATATATATATATATATATATATATATTTATACATGTGTACAAATTGTACTACAAGGTTTCATAAGGGTCTTTCGGGTTAAGGATCTCAAAGAAGACTGTTGATTTAACATGAAATATAATGATATTCCAATCTATTTATATAAAGAGAAAGCAAACATTCTGAAACAACGGATAGGTAAAATATATCAAGCTACCGGTCAAAATACTGGAGAAATGCTGGAGACATAATATTTACAATTTTATTCAATAGCAAATTTCAAACAACGAATAACGAGCTTGAATAGTCTTTTGAAATATAACATGCCCTCTAGAGGTAATTAATGAAAACATTCAAACATATAATAAAATAAAACATCACTTAACCCCTGCGTTCTGTGTAAGCAATGCAAATAAACAATATTAATTAGTTTTGACAATTGATACGCCTTGCTGAATTTAGAATTTGTTATTTGAACAAGAAAATTAATTGCGAAATGTGCGCCAGCAGAAATATATGCAAAATTACGGCAATATTGTTCGTGATATTTTTGCGTAATTTCGACTCTAGTCGTTTCTTCGACTAATTACAAGCTTAAATATAAAATGATAGAAGTTATGATGGAAATGTGAAACTTGTAGGTAATTTGATTTTCATTAATTTTGTAATTTTATTCATTTGTTTGCGCGCAATTCTGCTGCGGATAGCAAACATTAAATTAAAAATTAAATTAAAAAAAAACTTCAATATTAATCTTCAAATTGCAAACGTAAAAATATATTGTTTGAGTCTCAAAATTGTAGTAACTAGGTATTAACTTATTGACGCAATTGGTTTTAATACAATTAAACAATTTAATAACAAAATGTAGCAAAAATAAATATATAATTAATAAAAGTAATACTCTCCAATTAGGAATGCTAGAAGTTTATTATAACATGGGTAAGTAGTAACAGGCTTTTATCAATAGGAGACTGATTTTCTGGCCGATTTAGAACTGAGCAGATGCGTCATTTTCAATAGGTAAAATAAAAATTATCAGAGGCATTATTGTAATTTGCCGTTACTACTTGCCTCGGTATTTGTTACAACTAGCCCCAAACACTGTAGGCTCTGTATCTTTATTTGTATTATGATAATAATTGTGAAGAAGTCAATATATATTTTGTGGTTACAGAAGTCAATATATATTTTATTTGTATTAATTATAGTTTGCAAAGATGTATGAAAAGAATTCATTAGAAACATGTCAATTTTCTTAAAAATAAGCTAGGAATAAATTGTCAAAGGTATTATTGTAATTTTTTTTGTCATTACTACTTGCCCCGGTATATGCTACAACTACCCCCAAATACGGGGAAAGTTCTTCTTCTAGAAAATGCTTATTTGTGAAATAATAAACAATAGTTTTGAAATAATTTTTACATCTTTTGGAAGAGAAATAGTTAAAACATCTATCTAGCTTTATTTTATAGAAATATATCCAGTGGTTCTCAAGACATATTACATTAAAAGAAAATATCTGTTACAACAAGCTCCGAGCTGTCTAATATATGGGAGAAACTAATTTTCCATTACTTATTTTTGATAATGGACATATGAGAACTAATTTTTTATTAGAAATGAATACTTGTTCTTTATCAATTTTGGGATATAACTAATCCTCACATGATAACAAGTTTTTCTACTGTAAAATTATAAGACAGAAAAAATAAATAGTCCCATTCAATACTTTCGAATGCACATTCCGATTTCATTTGCAGATTTTTTTATACAGTATGCAAGATATAATCAGAAACCGTGAAAATTATCACAAGTTTGAGATAAGAGATTAGTAAAAATGTTATAAAATCAACAATTCATATTTGTCACATCAGTAGTTAAATTTATAGAACTGTATGTCAAAAGATTTAAACCAAATAGGTCGAAAAAATCTTCATTTTTTTGGAGAATCAGAAAATTTTCTATTTATGAATTAAAAAAAATATAAAGTATATATGTCATAATATTAACAATCCACATTTGTGACTTAAGTAATTGAATTTGAATAAATTGCATGTCAACGCATTTAAACCAAATAGATCCAAAGAATCAACATACGATAGTTGTTCTTGTAGCTAAAATATGATAGTAAGCCTCATCAGTATTTTCCACAAGGATTGCAGAATTCCTCTTTATGAATTTAAAACAAGTAAATATGTCATAATATTAACAATCTATAATTGACTTCAATAATTAAATTTATATTACTGAATGTCAACGTATTCAAACCAAATTGGTTTCAAAAAATCAACATACCATAGTAGCTATAGTAGCTTAATTATGCTGCTATGCTTATCTGTATTTTTCACAAGGATTGCAGAAAATTTTCTCTTCATGAATTTTAATAAATATATATAGTAAATATGTCATAATATTAACAATCCATATTTGTGACTTCAGTAATTAAATTTATATTACTGCATAATTAAATTTATATCAACGCATTTAAACCGAATAGGTCCAAAAAATCAACATACCATGATAGCTTTATGAATTTAAAAAAAATATATAGTAAATATGTCATAATATTAACAATCCATTTTTGTGACTTCAGTAATTAAATTCATAGAACGGCACGTAAACATATTTATGTAGCTTACTATGTTTCAAAAGTATTTTCCCGAGGATTGCAAAAAAATTCCTCTTTATGAATTTAAAAAAATATATAAAAATCCAATTAACTTCCGGCGAACGTTTTTTGTTTTGTTTTAGTTAACTAATTATTCAAATTGGTCGGATCGTTAAAACAAGGCAGTTATGTAAATCTGTGTAGACAATAGAGAAAGTCTAAATAGAACTTACTTGTAATGAAAATCTTCTGTGAGCTGCTTTACAACCGGCCCGCCTTTTGCTTATGTCAGCACGGAGCGCCTTTGTCCTTAGGATTTCTAGCTGGGTGTAAAGTCTGGAAATAAAATGATATAAATTATTATTATTCTCCCGAAAGAATTGACAAATCTCAGTTTCAAGTCATTCTAAATTGTTTGAAACCAAAATTGTAAGTAGTATGTATGTGGGTTTTTATGTCGGCCAAAAGTTTTCCCTACGATGGCTGTACCGATTCCAGTTTTTTTATTCAACAATATATTTGCAACTATCCTAAATAGACTTTTAGTAAATCTTTTAGCGAATATAGTTGAAAAATTAAATTATAATAAATTTGTAAATTAAATTAAAGATAAAAGATTCCAGAAATTTAAAATCCATTTGCTGTAACTCGATAAGGATTTGCGTTGACTATTGCGCCGATTAGTCGTTTCTTTAGACTACCTATAGACTAGACTAATTATGAGAAAAGCACAAATTTTGTTTATAATTCTTATTATTATTATAGTCAATTATATGCACATGTCAGACAGGTTTTGCAGCTTGTTTTAAATTCCACCTACACCTGCAAAGTGACACCTACACTTAGTTTTATATTTGTTTGAACACCTATGTACCTGAGACATTAAATAAATTATTCATGAAGTACAAACGGAATAAATTTAAAAACCACGTCTAGTAAGGGCAGTATAAATATAAAGAAAAAGAAAATATAAAATAAATTTTTACTTATTTGTAGACTGCAAATAGATATTATCGCTTTTTCCAAATTTAAAATAGCCTTCTTGCTGGGCTTTAAAATGTATAGTCAGCTGAGTCTACAAAAATCTAATGAATACATTATTCATATAGAAATTTATAACATTAAGATTTGACTATACAGTTTCCATACATCAGATACAAAACAACTTGTTAATTATATAAGCATTTAGTTTTTCTTAAGATCACCGATAATGATCTTAAAAACTAACAAATTTTTCGTCCATTTTTGAGCGTTTTTTACTAAGGAAATCTTTAAGCGCTTATAACTTTTGAACAAATCATCGTAGGATATTGATGTTTCCAGGTGAAATATTCTAAATCAAAAGATCTTTAACCCAGTATAAGAATTTTTAAGATACCTCTTACCGTTCGCGAGATATATGCAAAAAACGAGTTGAAATTTTTAAGTTTGAAACAGTTAAACGCTTATAGCTAAAAAAATATTCAACATAGCATCATGATGTATATGAATGAAATATGCGTATCTAAAATATGTATCTGCTGGTGCAAAAATTTTGACGATAGCTCCAACCGTTCCCGAGATATTTGCAAAAAACGATTTTTTTTCATTATCATTCAAATGATAAAAATGCGTTTTTCTCGAAAACTATTTGAAGTACGATCAAAATTTTTTAACAGCATCTTCCTGAGGTCATAGGGTACCTACGGTGCGAAAATCATCAAAATCGGACGCAATTTTTTTTTCCCCACAAAAAAAGACAATTCATGACCCTAGCATCATGCTATAATTTCAGTTTTTTCTCATTTATTCGGCAACCGTTGAGAATATTAAAATGTCGTTTTTTTCACGTTATTCTAGCCCACAAGACGATTCATCTGACGTTTCATTGAAGCTTCTACGTGCCCGGGAAGCCTGTGAAAATTAAAAAAAACTAACAAATTTTTCGTCCATTTTTGAGCGTTTTTTACTAAGGAAATCTTTAAGCGCTTATAACTTTTGAACAATTCATCGTAGGATATTGATGTCTCCAGGTGAAATATTCTAAATCAAAAGATCTTTAACCCAGTATAAGAATTTTTAAGATACCTCTTACCGTTCGCGAGATATATGCAAAAAACGAGTTGAAATTTTTAAGTTTGAAACAGTTAAACGCTTATAGCTAAAAAATATTCAACATAGCATCATGATGTATATGAATGAAATATGCGTATCTAAAATATGTATCTGCTGGTGCAAAAATTTTGACGATAGCTCCAACCGTTCCCGAGATATTTGCAAAAAACGATTTTTTTTCATTATCATTCAAATGATAAAAATGCGTTTTTCTCGAAAACTATTTGAAGTACGATCAAAATTTTTTAACAGCATCTTCCTGAGGTCATAGGGTACCTACGGTGCGAAAATCATCAAAATCGGACGCAATTTTTTTTTCCCCACAAAAAAAGACAATTCATGACCCTAGCATCATGCTATAATTTCAGTTTTTTCTCATTTATTCGGCAACCGTTGAGAATATTAAAATGTCGTTTTTTTCACGTTATTCTAGCCCACAAGACGATTCATCTGACGTTTCATTGAAGCTTCTACGTGCCCGGGAAGCCTGTGAAAATTAAAAAAAACTAACAAATTTTTCGTCCATTTTTGAGCGTTTTTTACTAAGGAAATCTTTAAGCGCTTATAACTTTTGAACAATTCATCGTAGGATATTGATGTCTCCAGGTGAAATATTCTAAATCAAAAGATCTTTAACCCAGTATAAGAATTTTTAAGATACCTCTTACCGTTCGCGAGATATATGCAAAAAACGAGTTGAAATTTTTAAGTTTGAAACAGTTAAACGCTTATAGCTAAAAAAATATTCAACATAGCATCATGATGTATATGAATGAAATATGCGTATCTAAAATATGTATCTGCTGGTGCAAAAATTTTGACGATAGCTCCAACCGTTCCCGAGATATTTGCAAAAAACGATTTTTTTTCATTATCATTCAAATGATAAAAATGCGTTTTTCTCGAAAACTATTTGAAGTACGATCAAAATTTTTTAACAGCATCTTCCTGAGGTCATAGGGTACCTACGGTGCGAAAATCATCAAAATCGGACGCAATTTTTTTTCCCCACAAAAAAAGACAATTCATGACCCTAGCATCATGCTATAATTTCAGTTTTTTCTCATTTATTCGGCAACCGTTGAGAATATTAAAATGTCGTTTTTTTCACGTTATTCTAGCCCACAAGACGATTCATCTGACGTTTCATTGAAGCTTCTACGTGCCCGGGAAGCCTGTGAAAATTAAAAAAAACTAACAAATTTTTCGTCCATTTTTGAGCGTTTTTTACTAAGGAAATCTTTAAGCGCTTATAACTTTTGAACAATTCATCGTAGGATATTGATGTCTCCAGGTGAAATATTCTAAATCAAAAGATCTTTAACCCAGTATAAGAATTTTTAAGATACCTCTTACCGTTCGCGAGATATATGCAAAAAACGAGTTGAAATTTTTAAGTTTGAAACAGTTAAACGCTTATAGCTAAAAAAATATTCAACATAGCATCATGATGTATATGAATGAAATATGCGTATCTAAAATATGTATCTGCTGGTGCAAAAATTTTGACGATAGCTCCAACCGTTCCCGAGATATTTGCAAAAAACGATTTTTTTTCATTATCATTCAAATGATAAAAATGCGTTTTTCTCGAAAACTATTTGAAGTACGATCAAAATTTTTTAACAGCATCTTCCTGAGGTCATAGGGTACCTACGGTGCGAAAATCATCAAAATCGGACGCAATTTTTTTTCCCCACAAAAAAGACAATTCATGACCCTAGCATCATGCTATAATTTCAGTTTTTTCTCATTTATTCGGCAACCGTTGAGAATATTAAAATGTCGTTTTTTTCACGTTATTCTAGCCCACAAGACGATTCATCTGACGTTTCATTGAAGCTTCTACGTGCCCGGGAAGCCTGTGAAAATTAAAAAAAACTAACAAATTTTTCGTCCATTTTTGAGCGTTTTTTACTAAGGAAATCTTTAAGCGCTTATAACTTTTGAACAATTCATCGTAGGATATTGATGTCTCCAGGTGAAATATTCTAAATCAAAAGATCTTTAACCCAGTATAAGAATTTTTAAGATACCTCTTACCGTTCGCGAGATATATGCAAAAAACGAGTTGAAATTTTTAAGTTTGAAACAGTTAAACGCTTATAGCTAAAAAAATATTCAACATAGCATCATGATGTATATGAATGAAATATGCGTATCTAAAATATGTATCTGCTGGTGCAAAAATTTTGACGATAGCTCCAACCGTTCCCGAGATATTTGCAAAAAACGATTTTTTTTCATTATCATTCAAATGATAAAAATGCGTTTTTCTCGAAAACTATTTGAAGTACGATCAAAATTTTTTAACAGCATCTTCCTGAGGTCATAGGGTACCTACGGTGCGAAAATCATCAAAATCGGACGCAATTTTTTTTCCCCACAAAAAAAGACAATTCATGACCCTAGCATCATGCTATAATTTCAGTTTTTTCTCATTTATTCGGCAACCGTTGAGAATATTAAAATGTCGTTTTTTTCACGTTATTCTAGCCCACAAGACGATTCATCTGACGTTTCATTGAAGCTTCTACGTGCCCGGGAAGCCTGTGAAAATTAAAAAAAACTAACAAATTTTTCGTCCATTTTTGAGCGTTTTTTACTAAGGAAATCTTTAAGCGCTTATAACTTTTGAACAATTCATCGTAGGATATTGATGTCTCCAGGTGAAATATTCTAAATCAAAAGATCTTTAACCCAGTATAAGAATTTTTAAGATACCTCTTACCGTTCGCGAGATATATGCAAAAAACGAGTTGAAATTTTTAAGTTTGAAACAGTTAAACGCTTATAGCTAAAAAAATATTCAACATAGCATCATGATGTATATGAATGAAATATGCGTATCTAAAATATGTATCTGCTGGTGCAAAAATTTTGACGATAGCTCCAACCGTTCCCGAGATATTTGCAAAAAACGATTTTTTTTCATTATCATTCAAATGATAAAAATGCGTTTTTCTCGAAAACTATTTGAAGTACGATCAAAATTTTTTAACAGCATCTTCCTGAGGTCATAGGGTACCTACGGTGCGAAAATCATCAAAATCGGACGCAATTTTTTTTCCCCACAAAAAAAGACAATTCATGACCCTAGCATCATGCTATAATTTCAGTTTTTTCTCATTTATTCGGCAACCGTTGAGAATATTAAAATGTCGTTTTTTTCACGTTATTCTAGCCCACAAGACGATTCATCTGACGTTTCATTGAAGCTTCTACGTGCCCGGGAAGCCTGT